ATCACTCTGTCCCTTGCCTGACCACTCTGGTCACGCTGGCCTCCTTCTTGTCCCTCTGGACCTTTGTCCATGCTATTCTCCCTGCCACAAATTCTTGCATAACTGGTTCCTTGCCACCTTTCAAGATTAAGCTCAAAATGCTGCCTCTTAAAAAAGATCACCTCCGGGGCTTCTCTGGTGATCCAGTGGTTACGATTCCACACGTCCACTGCAGGGGGCGCAGGTTTGATCCCTGGTCAGAAAACTAAGATCCCCTGTGCCTTGAAGTATGGCCAAAAAGGCAACTCCCATCTAAAGTGGCCTCACCATTACAATCACATTGTAATTGTACAATGTACAATACGATTGTACAATACGATTACAATATAGGGATTTATTTTACAATAAATGTACAATACAATTACATCACATACTTCATAGAATTAGCACAATGTTTTGTATTTTTTATTTGCCTTTTGTCTAACATCATTACTACCATGTAAACTTTATTAAGCCATATATCTTGACTGGCCTAGTCACCCAAAACAAAGCATCTAGCACATAGCAGCTGTTTCAAAATTATTTGTCGAATGAATAAATGAATGAATTTTCAGCTAGTCATGGAGCCCTGAAGAGATGTCAACAGCACTCGACTTCTGCCAGAATGGTGGTCATATGTGCTGGCCCAAGTTTTTTTTTTGTTTCTGTTTTTAATTGATTTGGCTGTGCTGGGTCTTCATCTCTGCACGGGTTTTCTCTAGTTGTGGCAAGCAGGGGCTACTCCAAGAGTTTGTACGCCACAACAAAGACCTGGTGCAGCCAAATAAATAAAAAATTTTTTTAAAAAAGAAAATAAGACTATAAAGAAAGACTATTTCCACCCCCTCCCCAATTATGACTTTGTTGAAAATGTTAAGTTTTGATATAGCCTCCAGGAGAGCGATTTGGCAGAGTTCACTGTATTGTGTTATTGATAATAATAGCAGCTAACAGCTAATAGGGGCTTCCCTGGTGGCTCAGTGGTAAACAATCCGATTGCTAATGCAGGAGACTAGGGTTCAATCCCTGAGTTGGGAAGATCCCCTGACGAAGGAAACGGTAACCCACTCCAGTATTCCTCCCTGGGAAATCCCATGGACGGAGAAGCCTGGTGAGCCACAGTCCATGGGGTCACAAGGAGTCAGACATGACTGAGAAACTTAGCAACCACAGCTAACAGCTGCTGAGCGGAGCATATACATTCTTTACTTTCTACCTTCAGAGCAGTGCTGGCAGGTGGTAAGCATAATTCTTCCCACTTAACAGAATGGGAAGCTGAGGCACAAAATGACAAGTGACACACCCAAGGACAAGCTAGTGGCAAAGGCGGGCGGTCTGACCTCAGGGTCCCCGGACTGTCAAACTCCTGCCCCATCTCCTCCCGCCTCCCCGCACACCAGGCGCTGGTTGTAGACTAGGAACCACCAAGAGGCCTGGGAAGTTGCTGGTCTCGGCGGGCGTGCGCAGCCGGGGTCCTGCCCATCTGGCGGGGGCTGGAAGGCTCGTTCCACTCTGGCCCACGCTCACCGCGTGCGCAGCCCCACAGCCGCACTGCTGACACGTGGTCACCGTCGCCCCTCCGCTCTCCTTCCCCGCCCCATGCAGGCGCCGGCTCCCAGGGAGGTGGGGGCCGGACGGGAGAAGGCCGCTCGCCCGCTCTAACTTCCCCACCTCCCGCAGCCTCCGCGTCTGCGCAGCCGCGGTCCCTGCGGCGCCAGCTCTGCGGCGCTGGACAGGGTGGTGTTTGGGGAGGGTGAGTCCTCCGAGGGACCCCGCGGGCAGGAGCCGGGCGGGGGGAAAGGGCTGGGGGCTTGGACGCGGGCCGGGGACGCGCGCGTGTGAGCGTGGATGCGTGCCGGGTTGAATGCGCACGGGGTGAGGAAGGGAAGGCGCCCCAAGGGGTGTGGGTCTGGGTGGGGGGAGTGTCCAGGTCCCGCGAGTGGCAATGGGTTGGGCTGGGGCTGCGGTTCGCCCAGTTTCTCCGTCCCGCCCTGCCTGCCTGCCTCCTGCGGGTCGCATGGGGGTTTTAGCCTCCGTGCGAGGAACCGGGAACCGCCCTGCCTGCCTGGCGAGTCAGCTGCGTGCGTGGGTGCTCCGCTCTGGCGGGGGTCCGGGGTCTGAGCTCGCGGGAGCCGCGTGTTAACCGCGCCGTACCTGTGTGCCCGCGCGTGCGCCCGGGAGCATGTGTGCGCCGTGTGTCTGCCTGGGCACGTGTCTACCACCTGCACGGGCGAGGAGCGCGCGCGCTGGAGTCGGTCCGGTTTAGGGTCCCTGCCTGGCTCCTGTTAGCTGTGCCTTTGATCAAGGGCCTTCCCAGTCTGTAACAGAACAGACTTGTGGCAGTAGCTGCCGCGGAGAACAGCCGGCGGTGAGGATTAGGTTATAAAAAGAGGCGGAGCTCTCTGCAGTGCCTGACCCCCTGGGGCTGCGCCGGGAAGCGGCGGTTGCAGTGTTACTTTACTGTGGTGCTGTTGATGGTTACTGCGTCTCCGTCTTCCTCCTCCTCCTTTTTTCAGACATCCGTAGTTTGTTTGTTTAGTCCAAATACATTCAAAGTGGAAACTCAAAGAATACTTTCCACCTGAAACAAACTAGATACTACCTAGTATATAATGCTTAGCACATTACGGCAATAAAGATGACAATCTATTGTCTTATACACCTACTAAAGCCAATGGCAGAGCCGGTTTGGTTGCAATAGTGTCATGGTCCGTCCTTCTCAGAGGAAGACCGGTCACTATGATAATAAGATAATACTCGAGGCTCTTAAGTGTGAATTCACACACACACACCCCTGTCACACCCGTAGATTTCTCTCTGTCCTGTGCCCCTCCCTCCTCCTCCATGAATCGTGTTCTGCATCTTCTGACTTGGGTCGGGGGACTCTTGTCTGCTCCATCCCCCACCCCCTCACCTGCTTTCTCTCCACTTCCCATGCCTTCTTACCCCTCAGCTAAAACAGGCTTGACTATTTGATATGTGATCATTTACCTCGAGAGGCTAAAAGCTGGTTTTATGTTCTTGTTCTAGGGCGTTGCATGTATTAACCACCTTGCACAATGTAACCCTCTGAGTATCCTCCTGAACAATCATTTAAAAAAGGAGCACAGGGTTCCCTGGTGGTTGAGTGGCTAAGACGCCAGGTTCCCAAAACAGAGGGCCCAGGCCCGATCCCTGATGGGGGAACTAAGATCCCGCATGCAGTCCAGTAGATCCTGTGAACAGGCTGAGTGTAAAAAAATAAATCGAGAGCCCCTTCCTCTTTCTGTCTTTTACTTTCACTCTTCTGAAAGTGAAAATGAAATTCGGGTCCAAGACATTCTCTATTGTAAGGGAAGCATGAGGAAGTCTCAGCGGAGGCAAACGTGGCGAGAGGACACAGGCAGTGGAGTTCTGCCAAAGGGCGCTCCACCGCTCTGTGTGGACAAGCCGCCCCGCTCCGCCCAGTGAGGACGTGGGCCCGGAGCCCCCATCGTCTGATTTCTGGAGAAAACACTGGAAATCTGTATTTGCAGTTGACATCGTCCACATTTTAAAATGCCAACAATTATTTCCAAAGCTTGAAAGGAAGACAACGTGTAAGCCAACAGCACAGGCGGTGGGGCCAGGTTAGACCCTGGGGCTGCCCGTTTGCAGCTGCGTTGTAGGCTGGGGAGTGTGGGGGGGGTGCGGAGAGGAGGCTGTGAGCACAGACGTTTCCCAAGAAAACAAAAGCAAAAACTAGCGTTGGCTGGAAAGTAACGGAGACAGCCCCAGTAGGGAGTAGTGTTTATTGCTTTGGGCTGCTTACTTTTCATCTCATGCTGGGGTGCAGCTGGTTCGCAGTGCTATGTTGGTCTCAGGTGTTGAGGGAAGTGACTCAGTTACACTCGTACACTCAGTACACTTCTCCCATCGAGGCTGGTACAGAAGAGTCGAGTTCCCCGTGCTGCTCCGTAGGTCCTTGCTGACACTGTATTTTGGCTTTAATATGAGACGTAATGAACTGTGTGTTTTTAGCTGAGGGGTGAGAAGGCATGGGAAGTGGAGAGAATGCAGGTGAGGGGGCGGGGGGTGGAGGAGACAAGAAAAAAAAGGTATTTATTTATATATTTTTGGCTATGCCAGGCCTTAGTTACAGCACTCAGGGTTTGCGGCATGTGGGATCTTTAGTTGTGGTGTGTGGGTCAGTTCCCTGCCCGGGGGTGGAACCCTGGCCCGCTGTATCGGAATCTCAGAATCTTAGCCACTGGACTGCCGTGGAAGTCTCTAAATTGGATTTTTTTTTTTAATCCTTGTCTGTCAAATCCTCCTCCTCCTCCTCCTTCTCCTTCATGATCACAGAGGAGAAAGTCAAGGTTGCAGGGGGCTCGAGGGAAGACTAGGGTCCTTCTTTCTGCAGCCAGAGGGGTTACGGTGGGGGGGGGGTCCTAAAAGCCTCTGGGTCTGTGCTTTGGTTGTGTAGTGTGTGTATGTGGAGTGTTTGTGTGTGTGTGTGTGTTTTCACACTTGCCTGCACCACCTCTGGCCATCCTCTCTAAACTCCCTATTCCCTTTCTTGTTTTATTTGTCTCTAGAGCATTTGTCATCATTTGACATATTGTCTCTCTGCCCCACCCCCCGCCTCTAGCGTGCAAGTCCCAAGAGGGGTGCTGTGTTCTGCTCTCTGCTGTATCTCTGTAGTTGCTGTTCGGTAGCTCAATCGTGTCTGACTCTTTGCAACCCCACAGACTGCAGCCCATCAGGCTCCCCTGTCCTTCACTGTCTTCCAGAGTTTTCTCAGAATCATGTCCACTAGCCGCTGATGCTATCTAATCTTCTCATCCTCTGTTTCTCTGGCACCCAGGAATTGTCCTGGCACAGGGCTGACACCCTGCAAATATTTGCTGAGTGACTGATGTCTGTCAGTCCTCAGGTTCCGACTCCTGTTCCCTGGGGAGCTCAGCAGGACCCTGGAACAGGGGGAGAAGTAGCCTGTCTTTCAAGTTCCACGTTCTGAAGAGATGCAGAGTCTCAGACCTGAGCAGATCCGGGGGCTGCTGGAGCCCGAGAGGGCGAAGACGCTGCTGCCTCGGGAGAACAAGGCCTGGGAGAAGCGTGCTGCCTTTGCTGAGGACTGGGTGACCGTGGAGGTTGGGACCTCCAGCTGCGGCGGCGAGGAGAGAGGTGAGGGCCAGGGCTGTGTGGGAGGCGGGGGCGGCGGAGGCCATGGCAGAGCCTGGGGAAAGGGGACTTGATCCCGCTGCTCCTTTCAGCACCTTTTTTATGGAGCCTGTGTCAGTCAGCTTTCTGCTGTGTAATAAGTCAGCCCAAAACTGAGTGGCTTAAAGCCACAGTCATTATCTGTTGACGATTCTGCGGGTCGGCAACGCATGTGGCCTCGGGATAGTTCTGCTGCCCTTGCCTGTGTTTGCTCCCGCTATGCAGCCGCAGTGGATCGAAAGGCAGCTGGTTCATCTGAGATGGCCTTACTGGGGTGTCTGGATGGTTGGATGGTGCTGACTTATAGCCATGTGTCTCAGGGTTATTCTCATCGGGGTGGTTGAAGAGTTCTTAGGAAAAACAAGATATGGAAGACCCCAGGTCACAGCAGTTTTTCAGCCTCTCCTGGCAACCTAGCAGCTTGTGGGTGTACAGAGGGTGGTGTCATCTGCTGAGACGGGGACAGCCCGGACGGCACCCCCACCGCAGAGTGACGGCCAAACCTTCCACCAGGAAAGGCCTCTTCCTTCTTCCCCGGGAGATCAGCAGGCCTGGGACCAAGGTGGGGGAACAGAAACGTCACTTCCAGCAGTGAGGAGTAGGTTTAGGGCTCCTGGCAGGACCTGGGTGCAAAAGAGTGGGAAATACCCATTTTTGGTTCCACCCCTGGTTCTCTGCAATTGACAGGTGACAAGAATGTTGAGATTTGAATATGGGGAGATTTCTTCACTGGAGGCTGGAAGCTGGGGAAGCCTCCATCCTCATGGCTTAACTTTGTGGCTTTTTCTTCTGCTCCTTCACTCAGTTTTTGCCAGAGGCCTGTAGAAAAGGAACTATTGTACCCATTTACCAGGTGGTGGAATAGAGGCTCGGGTGGTGAATCACATCAGGTGACTCCGTTTAAGTCTTCTGGGTAGTTAGTGGCAGAAATGGGATCAGAACTCAGGTCTCTTCTTCTCTCCACCCCACCTGAACCACGTACATGGAGTGTGTGTCTGTGTCTGTGTGTGTGTTTGTGGTGTGTGTGTCTGTGTGTGTGTGTTAGTATATCAGCAGGAAAGTGACGGTGAGTGGGAAGAACGCAGCACCCAGCCAGCTGGCCTGCTCGCTCGCTCATGACTCCTTTCTCCTCCGTTCCCACCCTCGCCCAGACCTACCTTCTCCTGAGACTGTGCTTCCCCAGGAGTGGAGCTCGGTGGAGGAAGATGATGAGTCCGAGGACTCCCAGGTGAGCGGGGGATTCCTTCCTCTTTTGATGAGACCCCTCTCTGCAGTTCTCAGTGGACTGTCAGCCCCTTCCTCAGCCTGAAATTTCCCTGCCCCACAAAAGTCTGTCTGGGGATGTGAGCCCCACGAGTCTCTGGTGGGAAACAGGACATGTTCCGTAGCAGTCAGACATGGAGTGGAGGGTATCGGGTGGTGGATATAACTCCATCCATGTATACCCTCCAACCCTTCACTCATAAATGCTTCATGAATTAACCATTCATTCATCTGTCCTCTCATTTATTCACCCAAGCTTTCATCTGCCTACTCATCCATATACCCATTCTATCCATCCACCCATCACCCGTTCATCCATCCATCCATTATCCACCCATGGATGGATAATCCACCCATTCATTCAGCCATCCATCCATCAGTCATCCATCCATCCATCCATCATCATCCAGCCATCCGTCACTCATTCATCCATCCAGCCATCCATTATCCACCCATTTGTCCATCATCCACCCATCCATCACCCATTCATTCATCCATCCATCCATTATCCATCCAGCCATCATAATCCATCCAGGCATCATAATCCATCCAGCCATCATAATCCATCCAGCCATCATAATCCATCCAGCTATCATTCATCCACCCATGCATCCATCCGAGGCCATTCATCCACTTCTGTATCCATCCATCAACTCTCCCATCCACTCACCCTTCTACCAATCCATTCATCCATCCACCCATTGAACACCCAGCCTCCATTCATTTGTCTTCTGATTCATTCACCCAGCCTTTCATTTGCTTGCTTATTCACACACACGTTCCATCAATCCATATATGCAGTTATCTGTGTGCCCACTCATCCCCATCATCCATATGCAATCACTCCATCCATCCAACCCACCCACTCACCCATCCTTCTATCCACGCATCTGTCTACTCACCCATTCATTCATCTACTACTTGTTGACTGTTGGAAGGATGTGCCTTCCTTCATCCACCCCTTTGCCTACTCATCCATGCACCCCTCCATCCGCTAATTACCTGCTGTGTTTTAATCCAAGTACTCTGAGTAAAACCAAAAAGAATGATCGAGCATTCCTTTCATTGGAAGACCTAATGTGTTCTTTGTGGGGGCATAAGACATAAAAATGTGAAATAATAACAGTGGTTCTTTTATTTACGTATTTATTTTATATATTAGAAAGAAAGCGTATAATCACTCTTGGCAACATGTGAGGATCCCATCTGCCAATCAGATGTCAGAAATCCAACTTGGACTGGCTCAAGCCAGAAAAAGGCTTTGTTGACATAAGGTGGGAGGAGGCAAGCTGGACAACCAACCTTGGTAGAACAGAAATAAGTGCTGGCTCCCAGTGGGTTGGCTCAAGGGAAGAAGAAAGTAATTCTGTGGGCCAGGAGGTCTATCCTTTCTTAAAAGTGTTTATTTAGTTAGTCGTGCCAGGTCTTAGCTGCGGCACATGGGATCTAGTTCCTTGACCAAGGATTGAACCGGGGCCCCCAGCATTGGGAGCTCAGAATCTTAGCCACTTAACCACCAGGGAAGTCCCAGAGGACTTATTCTTAAATATCCGAGAGGAAGCGACACCACACCTGTGAGTTTGTTTTGTTTTATTTGTTTGTTTTTCAAGCTTTAAACTTTTCATTTTGTACTAAGGTATAGCTGATCAACAATGTGATAGTGGTTTCAGGTGACCAGCAGAGGGACTCAGCCATCCGTGTACATGTATCCACTCTCCCCCGAACCTCCCTCCATCCAGGCTGCCACACGGCATTGCGCAGAGTCCCCTGTGCTGGACAGCAGGCCCTTGTTGCTTATCCATTTTGAATGTAGCAGTGTGTGCATGTCCATCCCAAACTCCCTAACTGTCCCTTCCCCTCCAGGAACCATAAGTTCATTCTCCAAGTCTGTGAATCCCTTTCTGTTTTGTCAGTAAGTTCATTTGTATCGTTTATTCTTTTTTTTTTTTTTTTACAATCATGAGCTGTTTATTTTCTTTGTAGATTCCACATATAAGGCACGTGAAATGCTGTATCTCCTTCTCTGTCTGACTTACTTCACTCAGTATGACATTCTGTAGGTCTATCCATGTTGCTGCAAATGTCATTATTTCATTCTTTTTAATGACTGAGTAATATTCCATGGTGTCTATGGACCACATCTTCATTAACCATTCCTCTCTCAATGGACATGTAGGTTGCTTCCATGTCTTGGCTATTGTAAACAGTGCTGCAATGAACATTGGGGTGCATGAATTCTTTCGGATCGTGTTTTTCTCTGGATATATGACACCTGGGATTTTAGAGATTAGTAACTCCCCAGGCAGAGCAGGGCAGGGGGCAAAGACACAGAGGCATGATGCAGTAGGGCACATTTGGGGGAATGCTGGAGTTGAAGGGGTAGCCAGGGCTGCGATGAGGTCATTCATTCAGTCCACAGCTGTTTATTGTGCACCTACTGTGTGCCAGGCAGTGTTCAAAGCAGTGAGGTTCAACAGTGAGCAGGATATCGATGGCCCCCACTTTCAGGGGCTCACAGTCAGCCAGGTAGACAGAATAAGGTGCTAAACGATACTTCATGTTGTTTAGTCTGTAAGTCCTGTCCAACTCTTTGCATCCTCATGGACCGTAGCCCACCAGTTTGTTCTATCAATGGGATTCTCCAGGCAAGAATACTGGAGTGGGTAGCCATGTCCTCCTCCAGGAGATCTTCCAGATCCAGGGATCAAACTCACATCTCCTGAGTCTCATGCATTGCACGTGGAATCTTTACCCGCTGAGCCGCCTGAGAAGCCCCATGATTCTAAGCAGTTCCTGTTATTTAACTTGTTTTTATTTTATCAGTTTTTGTTTTTCCTTTTTAAATTTTTATAGGAATATAATTGATTTACAATGTGTTAATTTCCAGTGTACAGCAGAGTGATTCAGCTGTACATAAATATATATTCTTTTTCAGATTCTTTTCCATTATAAATTATTACAAGATGTTGAATATAGTTCCCTGTGCTATAATTTGCAAAGATTTTTCTTTTGAACTATTTATTTTGTATTGGGGTATAGCCAGTTAACAATGTTGTGACAGTTTCAGGTGAACACGAAGGGACTCAACCACAGGTATACATGTATCCATTCTCCCCCCAGCTCCCCTCCCATCCAGGTGTTTGCAGAGTTTTTAATTAAAATAGCTCTATAGCTGACACACTATTTCTTTTTCTTTTTCAAATTTTCAAATTTTTGTTTTTTTATTTGGCTGCACTGGGTCTTAGTTGAGGCATGTGGGATCTTCAGTTGCGTGTGTGAATTCTTAGTTGCTTCTTAGTTGTGGTGTGTGGATCCAGTTCCCTGACCAGGGGTCAAACCTCAGCCGCCTGCATTGGGAGCATGGAGTTTTAACCACTGGACCACCAGGGAAATCCCTGATGAACTGTTTCATTCCCAGTTCTATAATCCCACTTTCTTCAAGTGACTATGGTGGCGCCCTCCCCTGCTGATATTTATACTTTTTCTTTGTTTCTGTTTCAGGGCTTTGTGGAGTGGTCGAAAGCTCCACAGCAAACGACCATAGTCTTGGTAGTGTGTGTAATCTTTCTGTTCCTGGTTTTAACTGGGATGCCCATGATGTTTCACATTTAACTATTAAGGTGACTCTTGTTTCGAAATAGATGCCCTGTGTCATGTTAAGGAAGAGCCCTGGTTTAAAAAATCAGGAATAGGTCTTGAATATTATCAAATGCCTTTTACACATCCATTGAGATGATTTTTCTTTTGTGTTTCACCTTTTCATGTGTGGTTTCTGCATTGCTGTATTTCACTGAACTTAAGACATCTTGGATTGTAAATGTGTATTATTTTGTGTACTCCTGAGAAAGAAACAGAATACTGCTTAAATGTAAGATGTCGCCAAGTGGAAGATGCATCGTGACTTCAGAGAAGGTGAACACGTGTGCAACATACAAGCAATGAAATTGAGTCAATTTCTCAACTACAAATCACCTTTGCAGTCTTAGGATGGTGGCGCACCTGGCTTTTCAGATACTGAATTCTGTCCCTTGATATTTTATGTAGGATTCTTGCCTCTATCTTCTTACATAAGATTGGTGCTATCTTTGTTTCATTTTAGTATTGTGGCTAAGCTTGCATCATAGAAGGACTTGAGTGATGTTTGACCTTTTGCTGTGCTTTCAAGTACTTTCCGTAGTTTATGCTGTGCTCAGTCGTGTCTGGCTCTTTGCGGCCCCACGGACGATAGCCCACCAGGCTCCTCTGTCCATGAATTTCCCAGGCGAGAGTACTGGAGTGGGTTGCCATTTCCTCCTCTAGGGGATCTTCCCGACTCAGGGATGGAATCTGGGTCTCCGGTGTTGGCAGGCAGATTCTTTACCACTGAGCCACCAGGGAAGCCCTTTCTTGAGTTTGAGAAGCATTAATTCTTGACGTGTGGAAAGGATGCAGTAATGGGATCAGGCCCTAGCGTCATGGAAGGAAAACTTCACTTGTTCTTAGATGCTTTCCATTTCTTCTCTTGTTTTCAGCTTATTAATCCTTTTTAACTCCATTAATTTTGATGATTTATAGTATTCTTTTGTCCCCTAGACTATTCTTCATTCCACTGAATATTTTCCTCCAGATGATTAGCTTAATTATGAGCAGTATTTTTTGGCTTGGCCAAAAAGTTCATTTGGGTTTTTCTATCTAAGATGGTAGACAGAAACTTGAATGAATTTTTTGGCCAGCCCCAAATAATCAAACAAAATCTTCTCTTTATTTTGTTCTGTCTCCATTCTGCCTTTAATTTGTCAAAGTTTTATCTAGTTTATTATTATTTTTCTGAAGAACCAGCATTAGGATTTGTTTATGTCCATTATTTCTCTAGTTTATAATTTTTTTTCCTTTAACATGTATTGGGTTTATTTTTTTGTTGTTTCTATTCCTTGTCTCGATTTTTAAGTTGACCTCTTTATTTATTTATATTCTTTTTATAAAACTATTTGCTGTAATAGTGCATTTAATAATATAAACATACTTCTGATTATAGCCTTGGCCACATCTCAAAGTTGGATAATTCATGTTCTTATTTATCTTGTTATTGCCTAAGTATTTTATTGCAGGGTTTCTAAAGAGTGATTTGAAACTCAGTGATGAGGTTTATCTAAAAAGAGGTTTCTCCCTGATTTACTGTGAGCGGAGAATGTGGCCTATCATGTCTGCCTTCAGAGCCTTTTAAGAAGCTTTTATCCTGGCCTAGAACATATCCAGTGTCTGTGTATGTTTCATGGACATTTAAGATGAATATATATTTTCTGTCTGTAGAATTCAAAACTACATGTTGGTTAAGTAACTTCGTCTTATCAATTACGTTGTTCAGAATCACATGCTATTTAATTTTGTCCAAACCTACATGTCAAAAACCAATAAGGCTATGTAAAAATCTGTTAGTGTTGACTCCATTTGTCAATCTATTTTTATTAATATATACTTTGTGTATTGAGCAGCTGTGTAATTTGGTGCATATACTGTATGTTGTTATGTCTTTGTCAACTAAGCAATACATGTAAAACACCCAGCACAGTGCCAAGTATAGAGCAGGCACTCAATAAAGGTTGGTTAAAATCTGATTCTTAATCCTTTGCCCAATAGGAAATGACTGTCTTTAACTAATGTAACCCCTTGCCTTAAATTTGACCTTGTCTAGCAGTGGTTGATATGACCATCCTGCTGTTTAAACTCCCTGTGTATGTGTATTTAGACTCTTTGAGTCATTTTGTTTCAATAGGACTTTGAGTGGTCTCTTTTGAGTTTGTTAGAGAAATTAGGGCAGGTGAAGTATTGGCTTCTCTCTCTCTCTCCATTCCTATCTCTGGCTGATTGTGTCCAACAAGCCACAACTGGCTCTTAAAAGAAACACATGCCTCAGCTGTTCAATTCTTTAGGATTTTATTGCTTGCAAACAGGAGAGTCTCATTTCATATGAACTCAAGCCAAGAGGGGCTTCCCTCATAGCTCAGTGGGTAAGGAATCTGCTTGCAATGCAAGGGACCCGGCTTCAGTTCCTGGGTTGGGAAGATCCCCTAGAGAAGGAAATGGTCAACCCACTCCAGTATATTTGCCTGGAGAATTCCATGGACTCCATTAGTAGCAGTTCTACGGGTTGCAAAGAGTCGGACACGACTGAAGCAACTTAGCACATGTAGCAAGCTAAGCGATTCATTATAGATTCACTTGCACCAACGTTCAGGATGAAACTTGCTTCATTTAGAGTTGGAACGAACTGTTGCGATTGAAAATGTAAATAAGGATATATAAGCTGTATTAAACATGTTATTTGTAAAGGGTGTTGACCAGTGCAGAAAATAAAATGAAATATCTCTTTTCAGGAATTACATTTTTGGAGATGTTGGGAAAAGATTCCTGGGTCTTGAAAGATAATTACTAGAAATATGCAGGGAGGTAGTACCTATCACCAGAGAAGGCAATGGCACCCACTCCAGTCCTCTTGCCTGGAAAACCCCATGGATGGAGGAGCCTGGCAGGCTGCAGTCTCTGGGGTGGTCAAGAGTCAGATATGACTTAGCATGCACAAGCAAGTATTCCTGGAACAGAAGCAATGAGTTGAAAGGGGAGACTTGTCCAAGTAAAAAATGGATTTATAAAGAAAGAAAATTAGAGCTGGTTTGTTGTTGTTGAGTCACTCAGTTGTGTGCAACTCTTTGCAACCCCATGGATTATAGCCCGCCAAGCTCCTCTGTCCATGGGATTTCCCAGGTAAGAACACTGGAGTAGGTTGCCATTTCCTCCTCCAGGGATCTTCCCGACCCAGGGATGGAAGCAGCATCTCCTGCATTGCGGGCGGATTCTTTGCCACGGAGCCACCTGGGATAGGCCACAGAGCAGTGGTTATTTATTCCAGCTCTGTCACGTGCCAGGATGCTCATTTCATGGACGACGGAGGTCCCCACCGGCACCCGATGTGCCGTTCTTCACCCAAGAGCCAGGTGGATCCCATTAAACGTAATCAAGACCATTCGTAATCCACCCCCTTGAGGAAGTCAAAGGCAAAGTCCTCACCCTGGCCATCCAGCCCCACGCGGACTGGCCTGTGCCCCGCCATCCCTCCCTTCTATTCCCTTCCCTGCTCCAGCCACACTGGCCCGCGGCTGTTTGTACAAGCCCGTCATGCCCCTGCCTCACTGGCTCTGCCTGTGGTGTTCTTCCCCACAGACGCCCCGTGGCTCCCTCGGGCCTTCAGGTAAGCCCTTCATCAGGACCTACTGTGTGCTGTGGCCTGGGTGATGCCTTGAATAGAGGCAAGACTCAGACCCTGCGGTTCCTGACCCTGCAGGACAGCAGCCGGCTCAGGGCTGTTCTCTTGATGTTTTGGCTGTGCTGGGTCTCTGTGACTGTATGGCTTTTTCCAGCTGCAGTGAGCAGGGCTCCTCTCAAGTTGTGCTCAGGCTTCTCATTGTGGGGGCTCCTCTTGTGGAGCACGGGCTGCAATGGTCGCAGCTCGTGGGCTCTAGCACACAGTCTCAATAGTTGTGGCGCACAGGCTTAGTTGCTCTGTGGGCTCTTCCCAGACTAGGGATTGAACCCATGTCTCCTGCATTAGAAAGGCAGATTTTTTAACCACTGGACCAGCAGGGAAGTCTGAGAGATTTTTCTCTTATTCATTCATTCACCTGGCATTTCTTCACGACCTCCTGTGTGCTTAGGCCTGTGAAGACAATGACGGGACAGAAAAAAAATGCAGACAGATTCTCTCCTCCCAGGCCCTCCCTGGTTTCCTCTGCAGGGCTGAGAACTGAGAGGACAGGTTGGCAGGGAGGTAGATGTGTCTCCATGTGTTTATCATTTGCTCCTCTCCACAAGCTAATATTCCCAGTTCACAGACAAGGCACAGTTCAGTTCCATCGCTCAGTCATATCCAACTCTGTGACCCCATGGACTGCAGCACACCAGGCCTCCCTGTCCATCACCAACTCCTGGAGCTTGCTCAGACTCATGTGCATCGAGTCAGTGATGCCATCCAACCATCTCATCCTCTGTCATCCCCTTCTCCTCCTGCCTTCAATCTTTCCCAGCATCAGGGTCTTTTCCAATGAGCCAGTTCTTTGCATCAGGTGGCCAAAGTGTTGGAGTTTCAGCTTCAGCATCAGTCCTTCCAATGAATATTCAGGACTGATTTCCCTTAGGATCGACTGGTTGGATCTCCTTGCAGTCCAAGGGACTCTCAAGAGTCTCTAACACCACAGTTCAAAAGCATTGATTATTTGGCGCTCAGGTTTCTTTATGGTCCAACATCCATACATGACCACTGGAAAAACCATAGCTTTGACTAGACGGACCTTTGTTGGTCAAGTAATGTCTCTGCTTTTTGATATACTGTCTAGGCTGGTCAATAGCTTTTCTTCCAAGGAGCAAGCATCTTTTAATTTCATGGCTTCAGTCACCATCTGCAGTGATTTTGGCTTGACACATTTGTTTCTGATAAAATTAAATCACTTTTTCAACTTGTCTTGGTTGAAGACAACCAAGACAACCTTGTTGGGAGGAGCAAGGAAATCTGAATATGGACTGGTCACTGATACTAAGAAATTATTCATTTCATTGTGTGGTAATGATATTTTGGTTGTATA